TTAGTCGTGTATTTTATACCCGTCATGTCATTGCTGATACACATCCAAGTCCCAATAAATGGGCATCAACTAGTGTCATGCACTTTTCTACTTCTTAATGTTTCAATAGCCACAACGTTTACCAGAAAATGTTATAAAAAGTGTGCCCTCATGTGATATTCATTATTATTTATTTGTTTGAGTTTAACCGTCGAAGATGTTTGGATAAATTTACATATCTCTCAATTAATTTTTTTTTTGATCTGATCAAAGACAGACCTCCAAAACTAAGTTAGTCACGATGGATGACCTGACTCTAACGAATTATCAAGATTCAAATTCAACTAATTCTTTTTATCATTAGAACTATCCATTGGGGTTATGTGATCTCTCTCTATATATGATTTTTTCACTATTTGGATCATATTTACTATCGCATAAAAAGGACCACAAGGAAAATAGTTTATTTTATTGGTACATTTGAGAAATAAAACAACGACATATATAGACCCTTTATTAAAACAAGTTATAGATAAGTTTGCGTTTAGTAAATTACTGATTTGAGTCCCTCCATTAGCTAGCCCACGGATGATCAAAATTGAGAAAAATTACGAGCGAATTCACATTTGAAAAAATTAATCACATTTGGCCTTCGAACTTTGTACAATTTTGTGCCCTATGATTGTAGCATCATCTATCAGCATTGTTTTAGTGTGTGATTAAAAAATAAATGGATGCTTTTGTAGTTAATAGAATAAACAATCGAATCGACTTGAGGTTAAAATTATTATGTAATTTGAGTAAACACAAATGACTTGTTCATGTTAAATTGAAGAAGGTACTTTCATGCATGATAGTTTTTTTATGTTATATCCTAATATTTCAAAGTGAAAAACACATTAAAAAAAAGATTTCTATGGTTGTTGGCTCACTCGTACCACCCCCCCTCCACCCAACCCCCCACAATATAGTAACATATGTTTGCAGCTTCTGGCGAGATCTATTCTCTGTTTCTGTAAATAGAAACGGTCCCACGCTTGNTTACTTTCCAAAATTTATTGTCTAAATTTTTTATTTTCATTAACTGCCCAATCTAAACTTTGTAAAGTTTCTGTCTTTCCTTCTCTCTGTCTCTCCAAAATTCATTGCCTCATTTATTTCTCACTCAATTCACATGGTTTTTGCTTTCACAGAGATACTGTTTCTCTCCCTAATTTCCCACCCAACTCATAGCTTTCCAAAATCATACCCAAGATCCCTAAAATTGGCTTTCCAAATTTGATGCAAATCTCAAAAAAAATCCACCCAATTTATGCCTTAATGGCTTCCCAAAACCAGAGTCAAGAACCTTCAGCCGCTTCACATGGTCTCCCTCCCTGCCTGCTTGGGTTTCTCTCCCTTCAGTAGTTGCTGCCTCCTTCTTCCCAGGTATGTTTTCCTTCCCTCCAGCTCTCTACTCCCCCCAACGTCCCCCCTCTCTCTGTCAGTCCCTGGTCCCCAATGTCCCCCCTCCTTCTCCCTTCAGAGTCAACATCCCCCCCATAAGTTTTTATAGTCTTTGTTTTGGCATTTGCTCTTTAACTTTCTCTCTCATCGGGAAGGAAAATTGATAAGGGAGGACAGTGGTGGGTGACTAGGTGAGGTTGAGAGTCTGTACAATATGTGATCTTGAACAAGTCAGTGGTTGGTTGGTCCAAAATCAAAAAGTCAGATTCACTTTTCTTAAAATAATCATTTCTGCTTAAACTGTACCTATTTTAACAAAAAAAAAGATATTTGGGAAGAAAAATACATCTCTTTGCTATTGAAGAAACTCTACAGTCCAAATTGTTGATGATAGACCAGTAGGAGATAATTATTTGGAAGAAACTCTACAGTCCAAACTATACCCGTCGTTTATTCTTCTATAAGCATAGAGTTTTTTTTTTTTTAATTTTTGGTGAGAATAAGCATAGGACTTGGATATGCTATGTTTTGATCCTAATGTAGTAAAATAATTTGTTGTTTGATCTACTGCCTGCCTAAGTTATGTCCAAAAAAATAAAGAAATAGAAAACAACAAACAACTTTTATGCTATTAGAGATTTTTTTTTGGTGAGAAATATTTTGGGGCACCTCATGGCCGAGAATTTCAACTTTTGTCATCCTTAAACTTTTTTTAGGATCTCAGGAACATCAATTGGGAATAAAACCAACAGCCCAAAGGCAGAAATTAACCCAAAAAGCAATTTGGGAAGAATGAGTGGTCTATTGAGGTGTAATTGTAGAACACCAGAGGTCTAGAAGGATTGTAAATAACTCCCTAAGTTTTAAATTTTTAAAACCAACCAATGCAGTACGGTTTGTACAATTATTAGTGAAAGCGGAACGCGATATCCATCCATTATGGATACAATTTGAGCAAGAAAAAATGGGTCCAGATACGAATGTTTTAGATCATATAAAAAAGAAAGAACAGTTATTTTATAAACTGCAACAAGAAGGTTTTATGCCGAATAATTCAATTATGTTATATGTTGTTGTTAACACGCTTCCATCTATGAGGCCAATTGACGAAATCAATAAGAAGTTTGAGAATGACTTCATAGATATGATAGAATTGGAGGAGACATTGGTAGATATCGAAGATGATATACTCTGTTCACGAGCGTTAGAAGACGTGGAGGTTCAACTGAACCTACTATGAACAAGACCTCCACAGATGAAACAATATTTTTTAGGTAAACATTATTTCTCTATGTTTTTATTGTTTGAATGTGGATAAAAGAAAAAATGTATGCTTTTAGAGAATAAATAAACACCTAACTGTAATCTTTTTTTTTTTTTTT